CCTCAAGCTCCTCCGCCTTCACAGGAAAGTCAGGATGAGCTCATCCAGCATTGCTAAAATACCAAATACTGAATCAGAAAGGATGCGGGGTGAAGGCACCACAATGAGTACCTAATCTCAAGAGTTCACATGCTAGAACAACTGAACCATCTCGCCAATCGCATGGTCTAGGGGCCGGGCTAAGCGGACTAGAAATTAGTGCTCCGATTTAACAATCTGGAGGAAATCTGGCGCCCTGTGAGCAACGGGTCAAGAAAATGCAGGCAGGGGATGGTCCCAGTGTAAAGGGTAGCTTCTAGGAAAATGTCGAGCTTCAAGTCAGAACGCTGGGCCGAACATTTTGGAGTGCTAGTTGTTCATTTCACCATGCTTCAGAATTGGACCTTAGGTTTGTGGTTGGATACTTCCTGAACTCACATTCTGCTCAGATTGCCGCCAAAAAGGTTGCGCCTGGCAATGCTTTAATACAAAATCATGCTTTGATTATCAAGTTGTTCCTGCCCTGCTTGGGATGTTTGATTACGCTCTGGACGCATCTGTAGAAAGCATTCAGCATACGACTTGCAGCTCCCTCTCACTCCTCCTTTCTGCTCTCCTTCTTCACCTCTATGGGTGCCAGCTCCTCCCACTTCTCAGCTTGCTCAGCTTCGCCCTGACAAGGCGATGCAAATGGATCCCATGGCTTTCAGCGCAGTCGATGTGCAAACCACCGGGGTGGCTCTGATTGCTCGCTCGGAGGCCAATATGGTTTGGCAAGACTCTTGTTCACTTGCTACTATAGACTATGGTGATAGTGGTATTCATGTTTCTCCTACGTGGAGTATTTCATTGCTCCCTGGGCGTAACTGAGGCTCGATGCAACGAGTGCATCATTCTTCACCGAAGGAAGCACTGTTTCCTGAAATCACTTTCGGTTGCCCTGCTCTCCTTTTTCCTCTTCTGCTTACGCTTTTGCGGCGCTGCCAGCTCTTCAGCCTCCTTCTCAGCTTGCTGAACCCGGGCCTGGATGGACATAGCTGCATCGCAAATGACCGCAGGAAAACACATGCTCCATCGCAAATGGTTACGTTATGTTACGTTTATGGTACATCAAGACTGCACAGCTGCATGGCAAACCTACTCATCCAACACCAGGGGGTGGGGGGGGGAACCAGTGGGCTGTTCCATGAACTGCCCAAACGCCCGACGTTCGCTTCCCCCTTGGCCGACACACCAGCTCTCCTGTTTCCCTTTCTTACACTTTTGGAGTTGCTCTTCAGCCTCCTTCAGATTCTCAACCTCGGCCTCACAAGGACATGACAAGTCAACTTGACCAGGACGCCGGTCCATGCATGTGGGGTCAGTCCAGTACATCAGCCGATCAGTTTTGACCGGTATAGTGGTGACGCGACACCAGCCGTCACAGCCGTTGGCTCAGCAGTTGGCCATGAATGTCAGAGTAACTATATAGATGGCACAAGTTGCAAGTCGGGTGAGCCAATTCCTGTGGTTTCTGTCATGTTTCGGGTGGCACCCCATCTCGAAGACAAAAAAGGGTTGGTGCTCTTAGCTTGATAAACCCCTGACTTCAACCTCGCTCCGTGGCTTGCCACCTGAACACGCGCCGAACAAAAAGCCGCCCCTGCGCCGTGCAAAAGGCGCCTCCTCACGCTCTTCCTGCGCCTCGGCGATGGCCGGGTCGCCACTCGGAGGGCGAAACTCACGCCACATCCGTTCCGGATGGATGGAACCCGCCGAACATCCGCAGCATCGTGGTAACAACAAGAAACATAAATTTTATCCCAAAACACGACTGCCATGGGACTGCCATAGGACTGCCGAGAAACGGCCAGGGGTGGTTGGCTGGGGGTCTTTCTGGGGCGGCATATACAGTATATATGGCAGTCCCATGAGTCATGTCTGGGATAGCTTTCTGAATAACTCCTTGAATTGGACATCCAGCCTATCATATGGGAGGTTGATTCATCAAGAAGTCTACCGGACGACCCCACACTACCTATATAGGCTTCCAGACAGGGCACCCCGACAGGAGGGTCCTGGTACATGGATCTCTGAGCCCCTTTTTGGTGGGTGCCTTTCCAGTTTCGGCCAAAGGGTCACCGGGAACCCTCCCACCTCCCACACCCCCGGCTCGTCGTTTGTTTCGGCTCGCTCCTTCGCCCGGTGGGGCCGCGCCATCCGATGGTCGCCATTGGCACGACGATCCTTTGGGCCAATGGGCTGCGGAGAAGCTGAGAAGGGCGGCGCGGTGAGTCTCAGCACAGTGATTCCGTGGAAGAGGCCAGGGCGCCGCGTGTGAATCTCAGGAGGTTCTGAACTTGGAGATTCTCCGGGCCACTTAGGCGAAAACGACGAGCTGGATGGGTGTCACAGTGTGTGAAGTCCCTTTTTTTTGAGCAAGAGAGTCATTTGGTGCCATGGAACGTTTTTACACCACTTGGTATGTACCAGCTGCTTCCAAAAGGGGCCAATGGATAATCCTCCACACTACTTAATAAGGTAACCCCTTCAGAACTTAGGTAGTATACGTATGTGCGTTTTCTTCAGTGGTTGGCAACCCGTTTTCGAGGCGGAACATGGACGGACCACGGACCGCTCCAACGGGCCGTCTCTCAGGCCTTGGACAATGAAAGCCTCCAAGCAACCCACCAAACTAAGCCTCCGGCTGGTTGCATTGGCTGGTTGCGTGGGACTAAGTCTGTATGTGACTATACTAATATAACATATACTTTGTGAGATAACAAATAAGCACGCATCAGATTGCACAGTGCTTCTGACTCGTGGCGTTGAAAAAAAGCAAAACGCCATCCACTTCTGCGAAGGAAAACAGGCCTAGGAAGGCCAGGAAAACGGCATAAGCTCCTCCGATGAAGCACACCTGTGATGCAAGGAGCCGAAGGGCAACTATTCTAATTATGGTTTTAACAACTGACGATTTTCAAAAGCGATCATTGAACATCTAAAACGATTGGATGACAGGTTCCAAATCAGCTTTCATCATCAGGGCGTCTCTAATGTCATAACGGTCTCCCGTCACGCAATCAGGCGGGAGAGGATGTGCCTTTCCAATCTCAAGTTTGATGTATAGTGATGTGGTGAAGTGAAGCTTGGTGTCACGGGAGCATGTGGGCAGTGTGCTGAGGTGTGCGGTGATGCGGTGATGCATGTGTTTCAATCAGTTTTTATGTTTGCGCATTTCTCTGTCAAACTCTATCGAGTTGGTCTCTTCTTTGCTGCCCCCAAACCCTTACTCTGGCATTTTCCCCTGGAAACCTTTGCTTCAATTGTTTGAAACTTTCCTCTTTCACTCTAGCGTTCTAGGAACTTCAATTTGTCTTCACGTTTCTTTTCTCCGGTTTTCTCTTGTTCCTTGTGCCCGCCCTTCCCTAACATAGGCACATCATGTATTTGTTGGGCACGGCTCTCTGAAAATCTCTACTTGATATTGATAAAATTTTAACTGGAGTTTCTTGTGGCAATTCCTAGAGGCCGTGGCGTTTCTGTGCCTTACTGTTTTTTGCACTTTTTCCTTGAACATGTTTGATTTTCTTCTGTTGGCATTGTCCATCGCTACCTTACACTGCCCTCCCCAACTGGAACTCGCCCAACAAACCTGCGACAAACCATGCAACCGTGCTGTTTTTTTTCGGGCGCGCATGGCATCTGTGCGGCCTTGTAAGCCCTCTAAACTCCAAGAGAAGAGGACAGAAACATCGAAACCAAGAAAAGAAAAGCATAGAACAGCAGGTCTAAACATGTCCGACCAAGCGAATACAAAGGAAAACGTACTGAATTTGAGTGATGCCAACCCTCAGGTGCGGATGAAGGCAAAGCACATGTATTGATAGACTGTGCTGGCAAACGCTGACATGTGCACTAGCACAATGTTCGGACATTTTTACTGGCATCAAGTCTGGTATGTGACGTTCTGACGCATCATCTAGCATAAAGGGCCGGGGAATGCTCTGGAATGTAATGTGTTCTGACATCCTTTCTGGCATGTGTCAACTGGCATGTGTTCTCACATAACATCAAGTAACGCAACACGCAATGCAACCCGACTACCGGCGCTCTGCACAACCCAATGGCAGGATTGCTTTTTGTTGCCATCCTCACCCGAAAATGAACACAGCAGCCAATCCCTTAAGCATTTGTGCAAAGTCAGAGGCATGCTGATTCCGGACACCTGTGATAAGTCATTCTGCATGCAACTTGCTTTCAACGTGCATGGAGGGTTTGGGGAGGTTACATAGAAACATATAGACCACAAACATGTATGTTTGGAGCTTGTTCTCGCGTTGCAGCACCGCAGGCACTAGCACCAACAACGAAGATTGAAGGCCCGCGCTTGCCCACTTGTCAAATGTATGCTCACTAGTCGCTCTACAAATTAAAAAACATCGAACAAACCATACAAAATCACCTGCTACCACCTCATTCTTATCGTTTGTCCCTGCTACCACCTTCCAAGTACTTGAGTCCACATCCCTTGACAGCGCCATACTTGCGATACTAGTCTGGATTCATTCTACCAGCCTGCGCATGTTACATCATGTTCCATCCCAACCTGGCGTAGAAGGCTGCTCGAAGCCATGAGCCCGCCCAACAGGATGCCCCTGTAGTTGGCCGCCGTCGGCTTTTCCGTGCTTGACTAGTGACTAGTAGTTGTCTGACTAGTTATCTGTTGAGCTGCTGAGTAGCTAACTGCACTGCTGACAGATGCTGACGAACGTCAGACAAACAACCTGGAAGTCGCCTACTGTAACTGCCATGCAGTCGCTCCGAAACCTGGAAACTGAGTGATTTGATGTTGTGAGCCTTGGAAAAAGCTCACAACACATTGTCAGCCTTTCGCCTGTGCGTTTTGCGGCTAGGACTTTCGACATAACATCAATTAAAAGCACTGCAAGCCCAAGCTCAGCTGAAGCCAAGAAGGGTGCAAGAGTGTACTGTGTTGGCGACCTTCTTGCTGGTTCTTTCTGGTTCCCTTCAACTTCAGGTGTGGTACAAACCTCTTTTAACCAGGCAGGCAGGGGAAACGAGAAAAAGAAGAACAATGCACATAAAAATAACCATATAGACATATACAGTATTACAATAATAAGCAGAAGAACAACAACAAGAACACAACAGCAACAACACCAACCACCACCACAAATCACCAAATCACCACCACAAATCACCACACGCAACACACAACAGCCGATGCCGTTTTTCGGAACCAAACCCGCTCCGACCGCCGCTCCGGCCGCTCCATTTGACAGCAGCGGCGTCATCTCACTGGATCGGGGCCTCCAGTGGCGGTGGTGAACGACGGGTGGCACGGGCGGTGGCGGTGATTTGGTGTCCTGGCCCAGGGCACTGAGGCTTCAACGCCAAAAACTGGACCTGGTGCCGCGGAAGACGCTGAGTTGCATAAGAGAAGCACAGAGTGTCGCCGAGCGCAAGAGTGGCGCCTTGTTGGCATACAAGAAGTGGGTCACAGCTGTGGCTGTTCCTTTGGACTCCTCATCCTGCAATCGACGAGTTGTGTCCCGCCGGACTCCTCACCTCTCTATGAAGCCAACATGAACTGCCTGTACAAACAGAGCTGTCATCTTGAGCCACTGGCGTTCTTGTCTGGATGCCAGCGCTTCAAATAGTCCCTGGCCAAGCGCCGACACGAAAATTCGACACAACACTTCTGGGCCGAACTGATGAGATCAAACCAGGGGCGGTCGGTGCCCAGGCCTCATGATCTGTTTCCTCTTCTTCTCTGGAGCATCCATGTTCTCCACCAGGTCCTCGCAGGTCACCAGGTGGACATGGCCAAGGATCCGCCCCAGGGATGAGGAGTTCCATTGAAAGCTGGTCAGAACGTGGCGACGACAACAACAAACAAGTAGTCCAAAAACATCACGAAGAAAACAAGGGTTGTCCTATCTATCGTATGCCTCCGCCAGTCGATACACGTGAGCACCTCCTCGTGCTCACCACGACCCATGTGACACCTCTGCTCTATACACTCTAAAGACGGCAGTCCCCTTTGCAAAGGCATGCCCATCTCGCCTGCTTGATGCGCTGAATGATGTCTGCTGCAGTCGCTGCGGCATCCACCTACGCCCACGGTTCTGAACCGGAACCCACGCAGCGAGGATCCAAAGCCATCCCCTCCAAATCGGGCGATAGCTAGAACACACCGTCGTCTGCCGCACTTCTGCCCACCAAAATTTGTTCTTCAAACAAAACGTCCATCTACAACGTCACGAAGACCTTCGCAGCGAGGCTTCGCAGCTTCGTTCCGCCCGTGTCTGTCGACAGAAATGGCCTGCGGCGGACTGTGGGCATCGCTGGGACTCCAGTCGAACTCCTCCTCCTGAGCCCGGTACGGACGACGGACGTCTCCACCGACGGAGATGATTCGATTTGGAATCAACATGAAGAGAGGTGAAGTGACCTGAACTAGGACCCTACCAGGGTACCTATGGGATAGCCTATAGGGTCTATAGGGTTCTCCAGGGTTCAGGTTGGCATGAACGAGATCACGAGAGGATGGGATGCCGCATCGATATCGCAAAGACGCAAGCGGCGCTGCGATGGTGGCGATAAAGCCTGGTCTTCTTTCTTGAAGAAGAGATGGTTCGCAAGAAACCCACTGGAAGTCGCAAATGACCAAGTGGCCATTAAGAAATGCATTGAGGTTCAAAGGTCAGCCAAGGCTTTTAAAAAATCCTCACAAAGAAGAAACAAACTGTTCTGGTCTCAGTTCCAATTGGCAGTCGATGTGGTTAAGCAACATCAAAATAAAGGATTGTTCTTACAAACTTGTTCTCTTTTTGAACCTTTTTTCGGTCACTTCCCGGCAGCTGCTGAAACTTTTTAAGAAATGCTTCTTTCAGTTTCATCTCCATTCCCGGACCTTCATTTCAAACTGCGAGTGGATCTTAATCAGCGAAGTTTGAAGCTATCACTGACGGTCCATAAGCGGCGTAGCGTCGGAACGGAAACCGCACCTTTTCTAGTCGCTTGATCCTTGAGCCAAAGTACATATGGTACATATATATGTACAAGTTGCACTGTACATGTCGCTGCACTTCCATTCGCACCCCCCATGTGAACGGCAACAATATGTTCCGATCACACACGAAAATTTAGGGATGTAAGTGCTACAAAGAAATTGTATGATTTGCCGCGAGACTCATATGAGGCTCATACTACGAAACATGCTGGACTAAAGCGGACTTTTACATATAAAGTGTGCAACTATGGCTCAGAACCTTTGAAAAATCGAATTGAACAAGTGAGACAGTCACG